GACTGTTTCTACCCTACAATAAGGTGTGTTAATTGCAGCATATGCATACATACCTGAGCTATGTATGGTACCAGTGAGATCAGGTCCTATGAAACCTTGGTCTCAGAAGCTTCAGCATGGCAAAGCTGGGGCTCAAGACTTCAGGGCTCTGAGAACTTATTCAAAAGAGAGTAAGTCCCTGCTGTTACATTTTGCAGTTGGTACCTGGCTTGCTAGATGAAAGCTCGCTCATGTATGTGCAAGATGCGGTAATCACACCTCTGATTGTGAAGTAAACAAAGCCTGGGAGACAAGTGGCTGTACTTTTTTCCAGCTGTCTGACATAAGTTAATTTGTCAGCTTTCATTTCAGTTGAAATAATTATTTCCAAATGTGGGATTTTAACATAGGAAAATACTGTGGTGCTTTTTTTTTTTTTTTTTAAGAGAGACTACTTTTTAGATGAATAAATAAAGAACTGCTCAGTCATTTGAGTGGTCCCAGAGTCCACAGCATTTGATTGCAGCATTGGGGCCTAAAGCACAGTTCTTATACTATAACAGTATTATATAATGTTGCTTTCTGAAACCATACTAATCTTTGGCTACTGCAAAACTGAGATGGAAATGCTTTTGAGGAAAAGTGAATACAGTAGCTACAGTGAGTAGTTTGTCATTGTGCTGACAACACAGTAAGCTAGAGGTATGACTAAGCAAAAGTAAACAAACTAATTCTGTTCTAAAGAACTAGTATTTTTTTCCACCTCCCATTAGGGAATGCCTTCAAAAGACAGAGCATGCTACTTTCAGTTTTATTGAAGAACAATAGTTGGGAGCGTGCTTAAATTGACAGTTTCTCTTGGTGATGGCACTTATGCACAGTTCTTATTTTAAGGCTACTGTGTAAACTGAAAACCTTTAAACTTCAACTCTCTAAAATCATTCTCATGTTCTGAGGATTGGAACAGTTGTGATCAAAAAAATGAGACATAATAGAAAAGTGCTAAGAGTGGTTCTCGCATAGTCCTTGTATGCTGCACACCCAAACCCTGGACCCTAATTTTCACTTATTTAATGTCATGTGAAACGGTATTTAGATTTGAAGGTTAACAGTGTACATGTATTATTGAACTGTTGGTACTGTGCACTATTGTTAACTCACTATTTATATATTGATGCATTTATATATTTTTTGAAACCTACAAATTTGTATAATAAGCAAACTGAGTATACTTTTTCTTGAGGGGAAAATAGCCAGGCCAACAAAATACTGTCAGTTTTTATAGGTTGTCAAAAACTTTCTTCTACGCTCTGGAAGGTGAGAGAATAGCACTTGTAACTCCTCAAATTACAGATTTTACAGCCTGTCTGAACTGTTTGCAGCACGCAGTCTTAGCCCATAATGACTTCTAATAAATGCTAAAGACAAACTTTTTACATACACCTTACTTCATGAAGAAAGCATGCCTTCCTTACGTAGGTTCCTAAAACTGACATTTGGCAAATGTTATGAAAGATGCTTCTAAAATGCTGGTATAATGTAATCAACATTTCAGTGATTCATATTTGTTTGAAAAATTGGTTTTCACTTTTTAAAAAATGCTAGGGTGGTTGTTTTATACATGTACGCTTATTTTAAGTGTCTTGTCTCAAAATGCCAAGCATCCAAGTCACTGATAGTTGGATTTTCAAAGAGGGTGGAGGGAACTAAGCACACAATGCCCATTGATTCTTTCAGCTGAATTTGGTATGTAAATCCCTCAGGCTGTCTTAAAATCCCAGCCTCTTGAAGATCCAAACCATAGACAGCCATTTTTTAAATCTATTACCAAAAATCCTCTTTTGCTTGAACAAACCCTACATTGTGTTTGTAGGGGGAAGGAAGAAAGATTAGAAAATTAGGCTATCCTCCCTGTATCAGTAAATTTGGGGCAAAGAATATGAAAAGGAGGAATGGTTGATATCTCTCAAAAAACATTGGTTTTTACATTTTTTTGCGTAGATGATGTGTGTTTAATATTGAAGTAATTTCACTTTTCTTTTTAATTTTGCAAAAAGTAAAAAGAAAAAATCCTTCAGGCTAAAAGTATTCAGTACATCATAGCATTTTGCAGGACTCCTTTTTCTTTTTTATCTCTTTTTAAAAAGTGCTACTGCAAAGTCTTATGCTTATGACTACTGAGTTAGACTGTGTGGTAATGCAATCTTCAGCCAAGGTGCCCCAGGCACCCTGGAGAGATCCTTTAAAGGGAGGCCTCAGGAGATAAGATGATAAGGAAGGGTTCAGTCCCTGTTTGGGTGTTCCCTTGCCCCCACTGCCTGGCCCCTCTGGAAAGGCAAGCTCTGTAAGAAATATGTTGTTTTTTTGAAAGGGGGGCTACTCAATTCACAGAAGTTAAAAAGGGGTGCCTTGTTTTAAAAAGGTTGAGAACCACTGGTCTAATGTCTAGCTGCCATGCATTAAACATTCAGAATTTACTTCCATGATGATTATAACATCCGTCTAAAAAATAAATTCATGTGAGAGACATGTTGCCATTTTGCCTTGGTTTAAATGCATTAAAAAAAAAAAACAGAGGCATCCTTTCTTTAAGAATCTACTTTGCATAAACTCTTTCAGTGGCAGCAGCATTCACCGCTCCATTCTCTTGCCTTCAAATGGGGACCCAATTGTAAGTGAAACCCCGATTATGATCCACAAGCTGAACTGTTGGGCCAATTTCCAGAGTCGGCCCATCCTTCCACTTCTGCCGAGCAGCTCAGTATCTCCCTCCCTCGCCTTGTCTCTACTCCAGTGATTCTCATCTAGGGGGAGAAAAGGGATGGATTCTCAACCAAGGGGATGGGGAAACCAGGGATGGCCACCAGATCCTTTGAAGGGTGGTGTGAGGGGATGAGGAAATAAGCAGGTATGAGCAGTCTTGGGCTGGTCTGCATGATCTCTCCCATCTCCACTGTCTAGTCGCTCTGCCAGGAGGTAAGCACTGCAATGGAGATGGTGCTCTTTTTTTACCTAAACTATCACCTAGAATTGTTATGAAATATGCTGGCTTAATATTTTAATT